AAGACTTACCCAAAGTCTGTGATTTATAAGCGGAAATAGAGAATTATATGACAAAAACGCAGATTTTATTTTCAAGGACTACTTACTAATCTAATACACCTCACCACCACTCCGCCCCGCCACACCACCCAATCCGTGTAAGTCTCAACAACAAATAATATCATGATAATACGCATATCTCGACGTCGTATTTTTACTTCAATCAAATCCGAATTTTCAAAATATTATTGCAAATATCAGATCGTGAAATGAGAATTTTGCAGGCAATTTCTAACATCTTCGTCGACTGTTCGCGGCGCAGCTAAGTTGGAGGCTCTTCCTCGCTCGACATTAACTTTTCTTTTAATGTTAGGTAGGATCTTGCCTCTTCCTAGACCTAGATAAGTTAAGTATTGTCCTTAACTGACTAACTAACTAACCCCCTGTGGGGAGAGGGGGGAGGAGAAAAAGTAATGATATATACTCTGCCCTGCCTAAAATAAATTCGGTACCCAGCCCTGCGTCCGTTTTGCGTACATGGTTCGGCTGCTTCCGTTTATAGATTTGTGAATCGACTCTTTAGGCTCTACGTGGCTGTATTGTCGGGCCTTTAACTAATCCGGGATTTCCACCTGACGCTTTCAATTCAGTCAAAACATCATACTGCCTTCTCAAAGCAATTTGCAAAGCCGGTTCTTTTCTTGACGTTGGGGTCGATAGTAGAGCCTAGATCTCTCGTGACGATGGTCAATTTTCAACAGCGCAAAGCTAGGCTATGCATTTTATGTGTTATCTCTTGTAGCGAGCGTATGGTGTAATATTGATTGCATATTAAAGAGAGTGGTGACAAGCCCGGAGAACAATTTCCCACTTCTTGATATCCTAGTACTCTATCAAAGAGATCTACTTCAGTCCCGCAGTGCCCAAAACTTTTATATCCCGCTCGTACCCGTGACTAGGACTAGTGGTCGTTGAAATCCTCGTCCCTTGCATCAAGTTAGTAATCGTTCGGACGTGTTTCTCAGGATGAGTGAGACAACTTACCTTCCAGTGTACATGATATCTTGTTTTATCACAGCTCGGACATGGTTGAAGAGAACATAGAAGTAGGTGCAGATAAGCACAATACTCATACCTGTCCCCATCCACTTAACTGGCTCATTGCCCATGGCGTTTCCAATGGATATGGTAGCAAGAATCCAGCCAGTGTTAGGGAAGACCATGGCCCACCAGCCTAGATGGAAATAGACGGGAGGCAACTGGACGACAGCCACGATAGCAATTCCCCACCACCAGGCTGCGAGGGCCCAGAGAAAGATGCCCGATATCAAAGCCATAGTGCGAATGATGCCAACATCGATGAGGAAGCCATCCATGTCTGGATCTAGACTCTTGGGCAGTCCATTAGCCATGCCGATAAGGGCCAGGGCTGTGAACGATGGCGGGCCCACGTTCATGAACAGGCCTGGACGATGCTCACGGTTCGGCAAGCCGGCTGACATCAAGCGACCGACCATGTGAGCATACATGAGAACGGCGACGGACAGACCAAGACCCTGGCACGTCAAACCAGCCACAATAATAGGAATAGCCGCGATCTCAGGCTGCGTCTCGGCAACAACAGAAGCAATGGTACCCGACAACATGATAGGAAAAATAGGAAGAATCCAGGTTGGCATCATAGTCTGCAACCCAAAGTTATGCGCAGCGAAGACATAACTATACTGACCGATAGCCAATAAGAGAGTTACAACAACGTAGCTCCAAAACGCCACCTGGATAGCCCACGCCAGCGTTGTATCGTTATCAGGAATGGCATACCGCTGGGTGCTAGTGATAAGGGTAGCGATGGAAAGGAAGAAAGTGGGAAAGAAAAAGCCTTCTCGCTCGTGCGTAAGCGACTTCGCCATATCTCCCGGGTTGAAGAAGAAGCGAATCAACATGGTAGAGCAGATGGCCACGAAGAGAATGATATTGATGATATACACCGTCATGCCGATTCCCAAGAGACCAGGGAACTGATGCGGCTGCGCGAAGATGAGAAGTGACAAACCGCCTGTACTCATGGGAAACGTGTACCAAGCCCACGTAAAATGGTGCAGACGCTGCTTGAGCGGCATCTTGGACCTGTTGGGATCGAACATGTCGACTCTAGCATGGTCGTCATGATGTCTTTCGTCTTCAGAGGCGTCATCGCGGAAGGGGTCTTCGCCTTTTTCGACGGCTGGCGTGATGGATTTACTGTAAGCGTGTGTGGCATGGTTGGTGTTGACACTTAGATGACTCAGGATGGGAGAAGCTGGTCTTGATTGTTGCCATTCTGCTGAGTTTCTGCGGGTTGATACGACGGAGTCGGTCCATGCTGAGTTATCGCCGCTTCTTTTATCCATGGTAGGCATTTTGTGTTTCGGTAATCGATCGCGAGGTGTCACGTCTGTCGAAGAAGAGTCGTCCGTTCGAGATAAAGAGAACACTTGAAATACAAAGACAAGAAGGAAAAACAAGAATTCTAAGATCAAATTAGACTAACTGAAAGTCCAGATGAGAAAAGAAATAGATAAAAAAGAAAACAAACAGAAAAAGGAAAATCGAGTTGCGCAATGGGATTCCAGCTCCCCGAGTTCCTGCCTGTCCCAAAAAGAAACTTGAGGGTTTTGGCCCGGATGATTTATAGACTTGTGGCGATAAACACCTCTATGGTGAATACGCGCGCTGGTAACTTAAAATAGAATCTCTTCCGGCATATGTTTTAGTTTGGTGGGCCTTTTCTCCTCCCGTGGGTATCCTACAGTGCAAAACGTGGTAAAAGTGGTACCCGTTTGAAGGAGTTTTGCTCCGTGCTACGCGAAGCGCTCTGATCATCATTTTTTTTT